ATTTATTTTGTCTCTCGCTTTGGTTTTGGGCTGTGGCTGTGGATGCGCTTGACATTGGGGGCAACTGGTAACTGGCAGCTCGCACGTTGTTTGTTGTGCCTCTTCTTATTGTTGTTGCTGTTGTTGTTGTGCCATCTGTGGCCCGTTGGAGCAGCCAACTAATTTGCGGTTTTGTTGCGAACCGAACGTCCAGAGTGTCTGTAATTTCCTTTTCCAGTTTGGGTTCGAGTCCGAACTTCGAGAGCCTTTGTTATTTTGCCACTTAACCAAACCGGCACGCCCTTCCGTCCTCCTTTTGGTTTAATAAGTTCTGTTTGCTATGCAATCTTTGGGGTCAGGTCAACGGCAGCTCAGCCTAGCTTCGCCCCGACCAGCCCATACTAGCAAGTCATTCAAATTAAATTCGGAATTAGCCAGCGGCAACTGCTAAGTCTCTCTCTCTCCCTCTATGCCCTGCCGCCCCTTTCTGCGTGGCTGCCTAACTAACTTACTTTGTTAGTTTTAGGCAAATTGAGGAAAACCATTCACTTCAGCTTGCGTGCTTAATTAAATTCTTTTCAATTCGAGACATGAGTCAATTTTCGGTTGGATCCGAAATCAAGGTTCCTACATTTGACTGCAATTCGGTTAGCTGCCAAGTTTTTGACAATTAAACAGCTATTTATGATAGATTATTCGATATCCCTTTACGCACGAAAGAAGCCCAGATTGCGTTAACCATAATAAATCCTCGCTTATTAAAATAAGTACTAAAATTAACACATTTCTGTACACTCATATATATATTTTTATATTTATATTTCGACTATATATATTTCGACTTCTACAAGTGTAGCAAGCGCACACGGAGAGCTAGAGGGCAGAGAAGACCGAGCATCGCTCTCACTACTCCACCTTTAAATGCTGCTCTTTACAGTGGTAATTGCTTGTTAGTGTACTCTTTAAATTATTCCGTGCTTCATATGATGATATCAAAATATTTGAAAACACATTTTCGCTTAAAAGAGAATATTTTATTTCTGTAAATCTGCGATACAGGCTGAAGGCTGAAGTATGACCAGCCAATAAAAATATTTTCTTAAGCTTCAATGAAATAAAAAACATAATTAATCTTCAACAACAAAAATCAAAAATACAATCTTAATTATTATATGCAATTAATTTTTATAAAATATATTTCTGTTCTGTTTCTGTCAGCAAGTTATAATTACGTTACATTATTATTTTTATTCAATTGTCTGTGTGACATGACTGTATGGTAAGCTTAGTTCAAGAGCGTGTTTAGAGCAGTTCGGGATTGAATCATACCGATGTGGAAGATCCAACGGGCAGTGTTGTGACGTTACTATTATCAGGCAGGTTGAAGTTAGTGTGTCTGCTTAGTCGTTTCCTGTGCACCTGGAAGTCTCTTGATGAATCCATGATCTCTTCGTGAATTTCCTCGTTTAAGTTGGAGGCGCTGATGTGTGTTGGAGATCATTCCAAGTTAAGTATGTAATGTTACAGCTGGAATGGCTGGCAGTGCCACTGATTGGAGTCCCATAGGTTCACATTGGTTTCCTTATAGTCATAGAGAGTAATGATATTTTAAGTGGATATTTTTCCGACAAGCCAGAGATGTTTCTTCAGCCTTGCATTGAGTTGCTGCCTTTTGTTAATTGAACGAGGTATCCAGGTTAGTCTTGTGTCAAGCAGCAGTCCCAAGTAGTGTTGCTTAAGATCTAAATTTTAATTCATAGAATCAAAGCAATAAAACATTTCAAAGAACTCAAATGTGAACAAGTAAGAATGCTCTAGATAACAGCTTAGTATTAAATACAATTTGAGGATAAGTGGGAAAATAGTCACACTGAAATTTGAGCCTCAAGTTGTGAATCTTCTAAGTAGTTACTTTTAACTGGAGGATCTTAGCATATTTTATATCAATCGATGGTTAACAAAAACAACCAGGGAAGTAAATGTTTCGTATATGATATATTAGCCAGCCCCAATTAGCCTCAACTTTTCACACTCGAAATGCAGCACATTTATTTGTGGCATAAAGTAAGCGTTGCTTGGCAATGCTTGTCGCTTGCTAAGCTTAATGAAATGCGACATGCAACATAAAGTAATTTATTTTTAATTAATTTATAAATGCAGCGACATCGAAAATGGCCAGCGAGCAAGCAAAACATTAAACACGATCGCCAACAACACCAACACCAACAACTGCAACAGCAACAGCAACAGCAACACAGGCCGCTTATCCCTTGTCAGGGCGTCGAAAATTAAGCCTCGGAAATTTGCGTGATTTTATATTTCGTTTTCATTTTGTTTTTCGGTATTATTTATTTCTTTTTTATTTTATTTTATTTTATTTTATTTTAAAAATGTTTTTATGCAACAAGCGGCGCAAAGTGTCGCTGACAGGCGTGTCATCAGCACTTTGAGCTGCTGCAGATGCAGACGCAGTTGCAGTTGCAGTTGCAGTTGCAAGTGTAGCAATGCCCCGACCACGCCCCTATAACAACAACAACAACAACAACCACTGGTAGTGCACGGCAGCAATTTCATTAAAATTTACTGCACGCTGCAGCAGCAGCAGCAGCAAAAAATGGTTGCGGTCAATTAACGTCAACAGCGTCTGCCCCCCTGTTGCCTGCTTGGATGCCTCCGCCTCTGGCGCATGCAGCCAGCCATCAAGCTGCTCATTAACAGCACGCTGACTTCACAGGCATTTTGTTTATTGTTGCTGTTGTGAATAAATAAATAAATTTCATTGACATATGCTCAAATAAATAATAGAGCAATTTTTTAAATTATTACCCCCAGACGCAGAGGCATGCGGTTTTCTGCAGCGGGCTGCTGAGAGGTGAAAGGATGCGCGCGATTATCCTTACGCACCATATGAGCTGGCTGGTTGGCTGGGCAGTGAATTATGATTGGGCAGTTAAGAGAACCGGACACGGGTCTCCAACTCCAACTCCAACACGAACTGCAACTTCTACTCGATGCCAGACCACAGACCGCAGCGCCATATAATAAACTGCCGAGTCGCTGTGAACAATTTTTAATTTTCATTGAACAATGGATGAAGAGTTGGTATTCATACAACAACAACAACAACAACAGTAAAAAATAAAGCTGACAATGAGTGGGGCTCACTTGAGCTGAATGTTTAAAAAATTATGATAATAAATTGTGTACATAAAGAAAAGGAAGATAGGAAATTTGTTTCAGATCCATACTCCTTTATAAACTCAAGTGGGTATATTGGTTTGTAATTAAAATTTGAACCAAAGACAGTACATTTATTTTTTTATATTTAAAATGTTGGCTCAAGTTAGAGAGTTGCGATTAGAGTTAGCCTAGTTAATAGCGTCATATGATAAAAGCTTAAAGTTATATAGCCCTGCACTTTATATTTTCAATTCTTTTAGAAATCATTAACAATTATTAAAAATAGAAACGTTTAAAGCTAAATTCAATATAATTCAACTGTCGACTCTAAGTATTTAGCAGTCAATTATTTCCGATTATAATTTTTGCAGTTCTTTCAAGTTGGCTATATAAATTAAAAAAAAAAAAACAAATACTTTAATATGTGAATACTGAAAGATTAAAATAAAAATTTATATTGCGAAAGAAATAAAAATAAAAACAAACTTTGCGCCACATTGCGTATGCGTGATTTTGATTATCCTCATATATATGGGCAGCAACTGGTACAATATGTTCTCTTATCTTAAAATCACATCTGTGTAGTTCAGGACAGGCTTATCTGCAGCCTTTAATCATGCCCTGAGTTATTTATTTGCAATGTGAGTTTATTTTCGTACCTGTTGCTTGGGCAAAACCGAACAAATTTTCAGACGCATTCCGCTCGCACTCGAATACTCACAGTTTGGGTGCATTGTGTACAGAGAGTGTTGACTTTGGTGCATAAATAAGCAAATATTTATGCAGCCAGGCTCTCTCGGCTGGCCAGCGGAGGCGCGCAGTCGAACTGTCAATGCCAGCAGCACAAGCACGAGACACGAGTGCCAGCAACGAAAATTCGCAAATCAAATATTCGCCATAAATAAAGAGGCGCTCGGCGAGGCAGAGAGTGAGGGAGAGAGAGAGTGTGCAAAAGAGAGATGCAACTTCCAAGAAGCAGGCAGCAGCCACGACGTCCAACAATGCGGCATTTTAATAATATTTCGCTTTCAATTTTTTACACCTCTGTGGGCAAGCTGGGTGCGAGCTGAAGGCCTCTCCCTTGATATCTTATTTCGAGCGAAATTGTTGCAATGCCACCTTTTGGCGGCTCGATTCGCGCGCACATACATACAGACATATATATATTTATGTGCATGCAACGACGACGCAGGTGTGACAACATGAAAATTTATCTGCGGCATCGTACGAGCTGTTGCCGCTCCTGCTGCTGCTGCTCCTGCTGCTGCTGCTCCTGCTGCTGCTGTTATAGTAGTAGTAGTAGTAGCCTCTCCTTGCGAAAAGTCGCGAAGTGCTGCAGAATATATGAGAGTACGAGAATTGCATTTGGCGTGGAGTTGAATTTATATGCGAACCAGAGTGTGATTGTAACCTTAATGCGACGTTAACTTTGCAAATCTGTATGCTTAAAGCAAATACTCCCATGATGAACGCAAGGTGTGCCCAGAAGACACCTGTGGCTTATATAAGAAATATGTATATTGCGGATGAGCCATCAGATGAGCATTTCTGCAAGTCTTTTATAGATATATCAAGAATATTTTCCTTTAATAACGTTTCCACCTGTTTTATCCGAACCAATTGTTTGTAATCTGAAACCATTAAAGGTGTTAACTCAGGGTATGCTGGGTTTGTAAGGTATACAACAGACGGCGTGGAAGAAATAACATAACACTATAACACTATATATAGAGATATATATTCTTCATCTTGAGTTGGCCTAGCACTCAAAGATAATTCGCTTGCTTCACAATTTAAATTCCAACTAGGACACTATATATTTTATAAATAGAGCAAAGTCAAAATTAAATACATTTCTAATTGCACTCATGGTGAGGGTACTGCAAATTCGTTACGTAATATTGAATCAGCAAACTGGGGGCACGCAGCTTTAATTCCATTGAACTGATTAATTCAGGCAATTTGCGATTCTTGAACTTAACGGCGAACATCAGTTGGCCCTCATGGCGGAAGCCGGCTACAATTGTATCCGGCTTGAGGCCGCGAGCAAAGCCATTGTTGGCCGTAGCCATGGGCTTGTTGTGATCCTTCAAGGAGCGCAGCAGCACCTTGACTATGGCATTCGTGTTGTTAACGCTTTCCTCTCGTTTGACGGTCACTTCAGGGCCCAAAGGATTCTTACGTGGACGGCCCTGCAACAATTGGTAAAAACTTATAAGCCATAAACTGATGTAGAAGCGTTAACTTACACGTTGTCGCGGTACAGGACGTTCGAGTCCTGCGCAGGGGGCAGCAATTGAATCCGCCCCTGGAACACTGGATACTGGAGCTGCCTCTATGCGAGTGGAATCAGCTTTTTTGGGATTCACTATTGAAATACCAAAATTGAGATATATAGAAATGTATAGCAATTACTGTGACTTACTTGGCATCCTCTTGGCAGCAGTTATTCTTGCGCCAAACAGCTAAATTAATATTATACATTATTTATATTAGACATTTCAAGATATTATAAACTAATTGTAACTTGCCGATTGCAGCTTCGACTTTTTTTTCCCCATTTTCTTGTCGGCTCAATTGTTCCCAATTTTCATAACACAAGCAAAAAGTTCCAAGATATTTCACTTGACTTTAGTAGCAAGTAAGATTTGACAGATTTTGTGTGAAGAAGAAACGATATGAGCTCGATGTATGCACGGGAACATTTCAGACCTATCGAATGCCAAATGAACTGGTTCATTTTCATAGCTTCCGAACTCTGCGCGCGAATTTCAAGTTTAACGGAAGAAGAATTTCCTCAGCTGCACGAATATCAAAGTATGCCCTTAAATGTTTGTTGCTTCAATATGAGATCTGGGGCTTTTAACTTTGTTTGAGTTCTCATCGAATTCTGTTTCATTCGAGTTCGCTTTGGAGAAGTTTTCTCAAATTTCTTTCAACTTCAACATGGCCCAAGAAGCTATAAAGAAAAAAAAGATGGACCTGTCCAAGGCTGAGCGCGGCATTTGGCTGGTCAAGGTGCCCAACTATGTGGCCGAGCTCTGGGAGAAGTCGCCCAGCGAGATGCAAGTGGCAACAATGCGCATGCAAAAGTCGGAAACCGGAAACACGGAACCGGCCAAGGTAAACTTGATTCTCAGTCCGGAACTGATGCAAATGGCTCCAGGTAAGCCGATAGCCGCCGAGCACGAGCTGAAGCTGTGCAAGACCATCAAAGGCGCCAGGCTAACGGGCATATTCTCAACCATCGACGACTCCGACTCGGCCATGGAGGGCTGGATAACCCACAAGATGGAGTGCCTGCCCGTGTGCAATGATCAATATTTGAAAATGAAACAGCATTCGTTGCGGGGCGTGAAACCCACGCGCGTCGCCGAGCCACTCAATAACATTGTGAAGAACTATAAACCTGTCAGCAATCATGCTCACAACGTTTGTCTTCAGTTTTCCCCCAGCTATGCGCCTTGACTGAGCTGCCTTGTTTTTTGCAGAAAGACGATAACAGACGCAAGAAGGATGGCGCCTCGAAGACGCTAAGCAAGGAAAACATAATGGATATGCTCTTCCAGGCCTTTGAGAAACACCAATATTATACGCTGAAGGATCTGCAATTCATAACCAAGCAGTCGGTGTTCGTGCTGAAGGCCATCCTCAAGGATATAGGCGACTACAGCAAGGACCCGGCTCACAGGCAGATGTGGGAGCTAAAGGAAGAATATCGCCACTACCAACAGCCCGATGAAACCAAGTAAATCAAATCTGAATTGTATAAATATGCTTGGCGTGCTCCACTAAATAATATGTAATTAAAATAATTGCCATTATGACACCGCACAAAAAATGAGGAGGTATCTTTCCACGGCAATTTGTTGGGCAAAAATCAATTAGTAACTTTGGCTGCAGTAAATATCAAGAGGCTGACAACATAATGCCACCCAGGTGCTGTCAGTGGAGCCAGGCCACACACCGAGCACAAGCCACAAGAGACGTAACGAGGCTAATGAAAATGAAACCTGGTCACGCACAGCACCCAAGCAGGCAGCCAGCTACAGGCTACAGCCATCCAGGCAGTGAATCGTGAACTCGTGGCCCAATATGAAACATTCAAATGCTATATATACATGTATATATATAAATTTCAAGTTAATCCAGACACAGCGGGTCGTCTCCAGGGCGCCAGAGAGTGGATTTTGATCTTGACTATACCACTTTTCATTTCGTAGGAAAGTCCGTCTGTGGCGATTAGTCGCGGAGCCCAAGGAATCGAGTTGCTTATGACCATGTTCTCCATTTGGGGCTGTTGATGGGCGCCAGCTTTTAATCATTATTAATTATATGCTGCCCGGGCGCATAAATCATTTGTGCTTACTCTGCATCTACCTGCTGCAGCAACAGAGGCCCGCGATTGCGATAGTCATCTGGCCCGGAGAGACATGACCAGGACGTTTATTACAGCTAGGTAGATAATCTATTCCTGGCTGCCTCAGCTCAAACGCTGAGAAATGTGGTTAATTATTTAGAGCCAGCTGAGCAGCAACAATTCATTTATTTATGCTGCAAGATAAACATTTAAGCATAAACAAAAGATCAGTCAAACCGAATGGATTGCTCTATCAGCTTCAATTGGCTGACATTTCAGGAGGAGTCGTGGAATTCGGCTCGGTGCGACTCTGGCGTTCGTCTGAACAATATGCAGACATCGATGCCCAATTTATGCATATTGCCCATCGCGACAGCTCTGCGTGCCAGAGCCTCCGCCTGCTTAACACTCAGAGCCGGTCGCCATTGGCATTTCAGATATTCGGCAGCTCCACTCGCCGCTGCCCCCAGCGCCGCATAGTTGACACGCGAACTTGTGCCTATGGATTTCAGTGCGACCAAGTGCAGGCCACTCGTATCCTCGCCAGCCAGCAACAGCTCTGTGACTTCTGCCTGCTCATACACCTTGACAATCAGATCCAAGGCTTGAGCCACCGTGACTCCCTTATGATTATTCGTGCGTGCCACTTCCTCCAGTTTCGTGGACACATCTATCAACGAGTCCCGGTCAAAGCCGCCATTACTTGCGCAGCAACTAGGACGAAACGTTAAAGACGGCACTATATCAAAGCTTAAGCGCTTACTAGATGTGATCATCCAAATAGTATATTAGATTATTCACTGCATTGATGGCCAACACAATGCCCTCGTCAAACGTAACACCCACCATTATGCTGCCACAGCTCGGGGAAGTTATGCTAGTTAAGAGAAACGAGAATTCTCTGTATAGTGAAAGTTGTCACATTTCTAGAGACATCACAAACTCTCCACTAACGAGCTTAGGCTCATTCAGGGAGAAACATTTTGAATATTCACAAAATATTTTGACAAATCTACAATGGCTCATCGCAGTCTTACCTCTTTTTATGCTCCGGCTTCGCCTTGGGACTGGACATCTGGGAGAGGAGTTCGCAACAGTAAAGGTGCTGTAAATAAGTATATATGTATGCCTCTACGCTCAAAGCTATTATTGAATTTGTCACTGGAGTGCACAGCGTGTAAACGATATCTTTGGGTCTTGGGGCTAACACAGTTGTTAAAGCTAAGGTTTGAGTGCGCAACAAATTGGGTCTCGGCCACCAGCTGGGTCGTCACTGTCATTGTCTGCGTCTCTGTTTCTGTTTCTGTTTCAGCCTGTGCTCAAAGTGCCAAGTCATCTCGGTGGCTGGGCCACTCGACCCCGCCAAATGCTATGCATGAGAGGTTTAGCGGGCGTGTCGGCGCGAAAAGTGTCAACCGCAGGCGCCGCTGGCTGACAGCCAAGTGGCCAGTGACAAGGGGCCAACTGTGCTTAGACTTTGGCTAACAGCAAACGGGTTGTAGTCCGCTGACCGGCAGTTGACACTCTCTAGTTGGGCATCCAATATGCAGCTGATGTAAGCGATATTGACAAGTCGAGGCTCAGCCGGCGCTGACAACGACATCGACACCTACGCAGAGGGTCAAAGCAGTGGCTCACTTTGTTGCTGCATCGCTGCTCAACTGGTTTCCAGTCCATCAAAAAGCCATAAAGAAAAGAACCCAGCTGCACTTCAGCTTAGCCCTAAAGAACTAAAAATAATCCAAGCCGGCACAAATGTTCAGCTTCGCGCAATCGCATGCAAATTTTAAATGATCGTCATTAATTAAACGCAACACGAGCTCCACGATGTGTTAATTAGCAAATCCAAGCCTGAGTCTGCAACTTACACAAATCCAAATGCTCTGGAAACTGGAACTTAATTGCTGATAGCCATCGACGTCTTTATTGCACGTGCTCAACGATGTTGTCAGCCAACTGAAAGCTGCTGAGCTTCGACAGTTATCGATAAGTCCAAGGGCTGCACCAAGACATTTGACTCGAAGGGTCATTCAGATGAAAATAAATTCATATAGAATGAATTGTATCTTAAATGTATTAGACTAGCTTAACACTATTTGAGTGAGAACAAAAGTCGTGGGCTTTATTTCGTTAGGGAATGCAAAAGTCAATACTGAGCAACTCAGTGTTAGTTAGCACTACTAAAATGAGTTGGTCAGAGTTTATATCCTTGTCTAAATATATTGCAGACTCTTGGTGTAAACACATGGTAAATTAAACACCAAAAACATTAAAAAACTTTCACCTCAATATTTGTTAATAAATGACACTAAAATCATAAGTAGAAACTGCAAAATTAAAGTTATTCTCCCAGCTAGTTACACATACAATCTATACTTTTTCTTATATTTCTCACTTTTATTGTTATTAAAAATTACACTTAAGTTTCGTTGATATAATAGTTAAGTTAAATCCATCTAATCATTGACTATATTTAGCTGGAAACTGAGGCATCGTGATACCTTAACTCTTTATTGATTTAGATTACAAAATATTTGAATCTTAATTTTAGCTTTCCATGAATACTGATTATAGATGCTCTTACAAAATACTTAAAAATATGATGAACAAAATGAAATCCACAGAATAAGCCGTCATTGTTAAAAACTCAACTTATTTTTGATACATTGCAATATTTGCACACTTTTCAACACTATAAACAAGCAAAGGACGAACGTCATAACTGATGTAGGCATCGAGAAATAACAAGAAAATAGCTTAGGCTATATATATTTGGCTATTGTATTGAGACATAATAAACAAACAATCAATATTATCGACTATAGTAAGAGCATCTATAATCAGTATCCATAACAAGTTAGAACTAATATTCTGATATTTTATAGTCTAAATCTAAATACACAGCTAAGTTATCACGATGTGGCTCTGCGCCACTTCCCAGTTAAATATAGTACCAGCCAGGCTAAAATTCCTGCCAGAAGACGCCATCACATTTATCTAATCAGTTCAACTAACATTAGTTTTATATCAATCATAACAACATAACAAAAGTTAAGTTATAAAATCTGTATATGCTCATCATAACTGCAAATAAACAAATTGTAATACTTCTTATAATAACTGGCAAATTGTATAGTAAAAGTATCGTGATTTGTGATTCTTTGTTAAGACAATTCCGTTTTTATTTTCTTTTAAGCAATTCCAACAGCTCAAGAGCAAGAAAAAAACACTTTAGTTGATGATGATAAGTTATGCAATTACTGAGCAATTTGCATGTATTTTGATGTTTTTCTTTCTTTGTGGCAAGTGGAGTCGTCAGTTTTGACAGTTCCTGACTCATTGTAGTTGTAGCTGCGTACATTTCATTAGCTTGTTATGGGACCACCTACGGCTCACTCGTTACCTGCTCTGGCAGACGTTGGCTGTTGTGGGCTGGTTGCGATTCGCCGTTGAGACCGGACCCTCAACGAAGCAATTAAGTTGAAAATCAGTTGTTAAAAGCATTGAAAACAATCAACAACAGCGCAACAGCAGAATCGAAGCTGGCCAATTTTAAGTATTTACAAAAGCGTACCAAAAGGTAAAGACAACAAGCCACAACTCAAAGGCAGCACAACAAAAACACTTCACACACATCAAATGTCAATTGCTGTCAATGCTGATTGTGATTCGCAGATGAACTTTAGAAGTGCTCAAGTAAGATATAATATATTGACATAGCACATATTCCTATATAAATTATTCCTATTAGCGTCTTTTAGTAGTGTCTAACTTTAAGATTGATGTGAAGAGCAGCAAAAAAGAAATGTGAAAGTGAGTAAAAGAAAGTTTAAATAAAACTTCTAGCTAAGCATGAAAATCGCATATTACAATCAATGAGAATCACAGAGGAGAGCAAAAGAGCACATATGATCGTATTCCCGTCTTTTGGCGGCAATTTAAGATTGGATTCAATGAAGAGCAGAAGAAACATGAAGCAAGGAATTAAGAGAAAGCTTAAGTTATATCAGGAACTTTTAAGCGAAGCATGTTAGTCACCTACTCGCCCTACAATCAATGTGAATCGCAGAGAAGAGGCGAAAAGTACATATCCTATAAAAATGATTCTTATTAGCGTCTTTTGGCAGTATCTGAAGAGCAGAAATTTAAGATTGAAATTGAATGTAGAGCACAAAAAAGAATGAAGAAGGGGCGTAAGAGAAAGTTTAAACCTGTAAGCCTCCTACTCTCAGTACAATAAATGAGAATCACAGAGAAGAGCACTGCATAAAAGTACAATTTTTTATAAAAATATACTTAAATATATATGTATATTATGTGAATAATACTTAATACTTAATTGTCATATATAAATAAATTATATACAAGAAAATTAAAGGTAATGTATACATAAAATAATACCCATCAAAGAAATCCATATACACAAAAAAACCCTTTACAAAATAAAACTCTTAAGCAATCGAATATTGCGCAAATTGAATTCTCTTGCTTGCTGCTTTAATATTATTTAAGCTTAATGGAAGCAGACATCGACTGCGGCATCTGCGACGTTCCCAGACATTGATCCGCTTCAACAACGGTCCCAACAACAGCAGCAACAACAACAACGACTGCAATGTATAATAATAACAAAAAGGCCGACAAAACAAAGGCGGCAATTGGCAGACATCGAACGAAATCGCGCCGGTTCGCTGATTTAACGCTGATTAATTGGAGCAAAATTATTATTATAGCTTGTTATTGTGGCGCGATTAATGCGCTGCTCTTTTGCCTCTCCCGCGGGCCCTCGCCAACATTCAACAGCACACAGGCAGCCTATGTAATCAGATTTGCTTGCAGCTGCGGTAGAAAGGTGTGCTTTCACCTGGCGAACCTTCTAATTGATTTTCAAGAGCCGTGTTCATTTATAACAGCGATGTGCTAGCATTTAAGCAACTCGTGTTTGTTTTTTCGTCGACTTGCCATATCGCAACCAAAAACAAATCCTTAAATTGCATAACATATCGCTCTGCGACGAGCATCATTTATCAAATTCAAATAAAGGTGGGCAAGGACAAGAGGTCCAGCTATCGGCACTTCACAAAAAAAAATAACCAGAAAGCTAAACGCATAGACGAGGGGGATCTACTCATGGTAGATACTCTACGAAATAATCTAAAGGTCTGCAGCACTTAATCGCTGTAAACCTATAATAAATCTATATAAATATAAAATTAATCAATGTAAGAGATATTATTTAAGTGAACTGCATATGCAGCATTTAAGTCACTCTTAAAGCCAGGTCTCAACTTAGCATAGGCACTCAAGTGCCTGTCAGTTGCATTGCCACAACTGCAGTATACCCATATTTTGAAATGACTTTCCATGGCTACAGGGTATTTAAAAAGCGCACGAGTAACTGGAAACGCGAAACGCGAACCAGCAAAGTGAATTCCCGTGGAGCGTTTAATCAAACTTTACCGGCGAACGCGTTGCTGACAATGAGAAATTGCAACAAATTCGCGCGCATCGAAACATTCGCTGTGCACACAAAGCAAGTGGACCTGGCCAGCGGGACGGTGCGACGGTGGGGCGTTGGCGGGAGCTACTAGTTTGGCTTTGATGCAAAAAAAGAAAACAAAGCGTTTTTCGAAGGCGCAGATAAAAGAAATGCAACAAACTGCGATCACGTATTCGCATCGACATCCAGAGAGCTCAACAGATTCGAGTTGCAGGTCCAGGTTGAGCTTCAGATTGGACCTGCAGCTGGAGCTGGCCCTGGCTCCCGCTGTTAGCTGCTACTCGATTTCCATACGACTGGATATTGTTTTTTTTATTTGTTTGGCTTTTTGCGGCAGTTGTTTGCCGCGGATATGAAAAATGATGCCGCTTCAATTTTAACAACCAAAAGCGCTCAGCGTGGCCCATCGCCGCTGCCGCCGGCACCGCTCAGCCCGCTCAACCCGTTTTGGGCAGAAGTGAAGTGCAGTTCTAGTCCTCGCACTGGCACTCGAGTTTGATTGATGGCCCGGCGGTGGGAAAATGCGGCTCGCCTACATTTGTGGGCGTTGTGTGGACTGCCACTGGAAATGGAAATGATCATCCGAGTCGTGCAGCGGCTGGCATGAAATCAATCTGGCTAAACGGTAGCAAATGGGCGTGTAGGCTTAGATGTGGGCGGTAAAAGGTATGTCGGCCCGTTACGGATAGCTGTGCCTATCGATCACTATATCAAGTGGGCAGCAGCAGCCAAGAGAGATGGCAAAATTGAGAAATTCGACTGCAAATCAATCGAAAGTGAATGGAAATAAAAGCCTAAGACTATATGAAAAGAGTGAGTAACTGAATTCGTTCCAATATGTTTCGATTGAATCCAGAAAAGAATAATAAACAAATAAGGTCTGCAGTGAATATAAACCAGCTGAACATCTGGATCTACCCAGTCGAGCTTCCTTCTATAGAATGCTGACCATCCCAATTTTAGAGAACACATGACTACTCTAAGCCAACAACAAATGTAGGTAGAGGCATAATTTTGAGCTTTCTGTAACCCAACAAGAGTTCAACGTCTGGCATGCCATAACTATCAATCGTTAGGCAACAATCTATTTGAGATTTGCAAACAGCGCTAGGGAAATCAAATTGATTAAGCAAATAAAATGCATGGCGAAATGACGATAAGAGTGAAGAAAAAAATATAAAAAAAGAGAAATAGAAAAAACTATTGGCCCACATGCAAAGAGGCTCGAATTTCGCCGCCAACAAAGTTGTTGACTTGCAGTTCAACGGGGCTGGAACGTGGACTCCAGGGGCCTGACTCACACACAGCCGCCAATTTCAAGTAGGCCACAGATGGAAATTGAAAATATGCCACTAAAATAAACAGTTATTGAGTTGACTTTTTGACACTTCCCGCTGCGATAGGCAAAGAATGGCTGCGGCAGTGGTCAACACCAACGGCACCTGGGCCACCTTTTGCGTATTGCCCCACTTGGCGGTCTATTAATTAAATTAAATTTCGATATAAATT